TCTTTTCAAGTGAGAGGAACATATAAAAGAACATATCCATACCACACACAAAAACACATAGATAATTTCAGGGGATGACCATCTCTAAAGATGCTGCTATAACACCATATGCGGAATGAAAAGTTCTTAATCCACTACATAACACAAACTTAATGAGTGTTTAAACTTGTAACAAGGTCTACCCATGTTGTTATTTAAAATAGTTCTGACGTTTACATAGTAGCATAAAAATATAGATTACATTAAAAATATTTGATATGAAATTCTTAAGAGTTACGCATGGAAAGACACAGTTCTTTAGGTCCAAGCTATGTAACTCCTTAAGTTTCTCCTTTAAAAAGAAATTTTAAAAAAGAAGGGCAAAAAATATACATAAACAAACAAAAGGAACTGTTCAATTACTAGAGATAATCATGACTAACAATCTTTTCTGCCCACCCCTCTAACCCTATTTTCTCCTTGGTCAGTCAAATTTTAGCAGCTGAAGTAAGTACAAGTAGCAGATGGCAGAAATCTCTATCCCTGTCCGTTGCTGATGAATGTTATTTTGGTAACTGTCAGAGAAACAAAAGGGACTAGGGTAGCAGTCAGTCAACATGTGCCAGAATTGTGTCCTTTACTTAAGAGTTGGAGAGGCAAAGTTAGATAGAGGAAGTGTAAGTTAGTGGAAATAGGTCTGGCGTGGGGGTAACACCCCGGGCCTCAGTTTCCTGCTCTGCAAAAGTATCAAATCACATGATTTTTACAGTCCCTTCCAACTCTGTGACTACAGAGCAGATACTCTTGCTTTCCCTGACCATCTTACCTCAATGTTTGCCCACCTAGAGGGTCTGAGAAAAAGCCCTAACAGACTGATGATCAAGAAACAAAAGGACATGAGTTTCCTCATTCATGAGAAAAAATATAAATTGATTTGGGAGGCTCCCAAGAAAATATTTGTATGCCTCCAAAGTGCTTTCCAATATCTACACAAAACAAAATGACAAATTTGCAAACACATGCAAGTATTAAACTTTTTAATCAATGCTCTGTAAGCCAAATATGCTACTTTCAACACAGCAATGACACTTCAAGAACTTAGATTCTGGCTCTCAAAATTTTTAATTAAGCCTTAACTTTAGGCAATATAACACAATAACTTCAGTGTCTGGAGACAGACTAACCTAGATTCAAATCTTGGCTCTTGCACTTACTAAATGTGTAACCTTGAATAGCCTCAGTCTCCTCACCTGTAAAAAGGAGATAATAGTACCTCCATCTCATAGGATTGTTGTAAGGATTTACAGATAATCTGTAAAACAGTGCTTGGATCAAAATGAATGCTCAGTAAATGTCTTTCACTTATATCTTTTTTATCTAATAATCAAAACCCCTAATCAAACTCACAGGTTTAAAATTTCCTCAATGCCTTAGGACTTAAATGATAGGCCCAATTTCTACCATATAAATAGTTAATAAAACAAAAAAAAAATGTCACAGATCTCAAGTTCATGGCTTGTGATTTTCTACTGAGCCTCAAACACACCACACCTAGCCAGATCTTAAACGACAGGTAGGCACACCAGCAATACCTCTCATATTTTCTGTGAGTCTGAGACACTCACTTGGTTAATTCCAACAGAAATGTTTCAAAAGGAGACAATTATCTCCTCTGGAAAACTTAAGGGTTTTTTTTTCCTAAACGTATAGAATATATAGCATCTCCATCACTGAGAGCTGATTGGAATTTGAATTTGAAACCCATGAACCTCAATGCTTCCCAAAGGAAATACCAGACCAAGCAAAAGTACTCACGGATCAAACTCATGGATGACACTTTCAAATCTCAAGACAGCAAAGAGACGAGTGGAGAATGCTGCAAATACCAGAGAATTAATATTTTAATGGTGATGTGCCATGAAAAATAGTAGACAGTAGTATTATAGCATTATCCAGCACAGAAGTCACAGGAAATATAAAATGATCCCTGAATAAAGTATTTATCCATCACTCCCATGTAGAAGAAACAAAAGAAGTTCACTTTCCCCTGACAATGACACCTACATTTTCCACTTAGGGAGGACATATTTAACTACTTGTTATCAAGGCCCCTAAGTAGTGCATTCACCTACTAATACTGCACTCAATCTACATGGTCATCTTTTATATATGTTGACCTTCCCTCCCCACAACTAACCTTAACTCTGGAGCAAACTAGGAGGTAAAGCAATCAAAGCTATACTTCTGACTCATGAAGAGCTAGAAAATCTAAAAAGCAGTAAGTTCTGAAGAGATTTTCAGAAATACTAATGTAGGCAACTAAACTGAAGACAATCATCTTTCACAATATTCAGTATCCAAGGGTCCTCAGTAACTCTTTCAGCTCTATGAGAAAACAGAATTAGCAAAGCATGCCTCCCCTTCTTTCCCAGATGATCACTAGCCCTGACTTTTATAATCCGTGTTTCTTTTAATTTGCCTTCATAAACTTATAGTGATGGAGGACAGTAAAAAGAATAAGGCATTTAAAAAAGCCATTCTTGATTTTTCTCAAGATTTTTCTCCTTTCCATCTCCAAAGAGGTCCACAAGCACACTCACATAACACAGCAGCCATTGACAGAATGAGAAGCTTCAGAAGTGTGTCCTGCTTTTCATAGGACAGCCGCAAAAACCCCAGCTTAGTCATCTTGACATCGGTGGGTGGCAACAGATGACACTCGAATAGCTAAAATGGAAAAGTCAAGACTACATGACATCGAACACCTTCCATTTACCTAATTCACTTTCATATTTTACATGGTAGAGAACTATATAAGAGACAGGGGCTAGTGAGCACACTACAGAGGGTCAGGGCTAATACTAATACCCAAGCCTTGCCTGAATTACGATCAGCCGGCAAAGGAGTAGGCACAAGTCAGGTCTATGTGTCAAGACTAACAAGGGGTGATTAGACTCTATCACCAAAATTCTGTTTCTCACTCCCTCACAATTAACAAGTACATAAGCATAACTGCCAATAGTGTAGTACAACAGGAATAAAGAAACACAGGAATAGAAAAAAAGGAGGTTGGAGGAAGAGATGCAAAGAACATAGGAAAGATCAGAAATAGAGAAAAAAATCAATGGAGAAAGAGAGTATTTAAAACAAGGCAGGAATGTACGAAAGAAGGCAGGGGATAAATACTGAGTACACAAGGGAAAACAGAAAGCAGAGAAATAGAAGTCATGACTGAATCAGTACAATTTACAGCCCTAAATTTCAGCTTCAACTGACAGGCTACAAGCTTCTTTTTGTTGCAAATCCCAGTGGGGTTGCAGGGTCAACTAAAGAGCATGACATCACTAATGCAGGTATAGCCATGCGCTCAGAGGCAGAGATATACATACACAGATTACTGCGCTTTCAAGCCCATGGATCACACTGGAACTATGCCTCAGATCTATACCCACTTCCAATCAGCTGTCTCAAGGCATCTCTGTAATTGACACTGCTGTTTTAAGCCACTAATCCCAAAGACAGTTCATGGAACCAGATGACAATCTGGAGGGAAAAGAAAATAAATTCTTTCTACTGAAGCGAGAAAAGCTCAGGGGGGAAAAAAGACTAGATCCAAATAAAATGTTGAGGGAAGTAATTTGTAGACCACTCGGAATGGTGATCACTGGTAAATTAGCACTAATTTACCATAGGAGGTTAGCTTATTTCTGTTTAAGATAGCACTGCCTTCTTAAACCATAAGCTGGTCAAAGGCTTAGTGATAATGAATGTAATAATAAAGGATATGCAACACTGTTTAAGACTGCAGAGGAAAAAAAAGGAACCAGCGCCCTTCCTGATCTTTTTCCCAATATTACTAGAGAAAAGGGGAAAAAAAACACTGGAGTAGGTGGAAGGCATGAAGAATCACACATTCCAAGCTCCAACAGTGAGAAGTCAAGCATCTTTTCTGTAATTAACTGTCCCAGAGGAGCAGTTTTCCGTGAGTTTTTAATTATAATCCCGAAGGAAAACCTTATCTCGCAATCAAAAATAAACACCTAACTCCAGGAAGTCAATAATCAGCCAGATCCTTCAGGTTTATACTAGTTTTCTGGAATGCCTGAAATAGAAGAACTTAACACCACTGAGTTGACATGAGTCACACAACTAGAAAACTAAGCAGAGGAAATGCGAATACTTGACCCTCTACCTGAAAACTGACTAAAGGAGCTAGTAATTTGAGGCAGGGCCTTAAGGGAGTTCTCATAACGTACTTTCTGGTGGTCGTTTTCACTCACTGCTAAAGCATCTAAGGGCAAAGACACTTTTCTTAAAACACTTAGCACGTGTTCTCCTCCTCAACTGTGCCTGCAAGCTGTGGCATCCTTGTCCCACCCCAGTTCTAATCTCTAAGACGGCAACTTGCCCACCGCCGTTTGCCTGCACGCTTTCTCACGCCGTCTCACACTCCTTTCCCCCCCTCCACCCGCCACTTCTGCTCACCCCTGGGCGTCCCAGCTCCCTCAGCCTCCCACCTTCACACAACTCAACACCTCTGACACCACCCACCGCGGGACAACCCCCCACATTAGCATCCTACGCGCCTTCTCCCCATAGGACTAGACCCAGGATCCACTCTTCCCCACGCCTCGCTGGCCTAAGCGCACGCCCCACCCTAGACCTTCACCTCCTCCCATTTCAGGACGACCCCACACCCACCTCATGCCCCCTCCTCTGCAAGGCCCCAGACCCTGCTTCCCACCCCAACTTCCCTCCCCCGCGGCCTTTACAGCCCCACCTCCTGCACTTCGTTCAGCCCCACCAACGCCCTGGACTGCACCTGCCGCTAATGCTCAAGTTATATCCTAAGGCCTTCTTACCTGGCCAGCGTTCCTCACGAATCCGCTCGGCTCCCTCTGCCATCCGCTCAGTGGCGCACCCAACCTTGGCAACGGCCGGGTCCGCCTCCCGGACCGCTCCCCATTGGCTGGCTCAGGACCGAGACGACACATCTAGAGAGCGATAGGATTGCGGGACTGTCTGTCAGATCCTGAGGCGTGGACAAAGCCGCGTTCCCACTTCTTAACTGGGCGATACAGATATCACTTAGCAGCCTGGAGGCGGGACTTCGTGCTCCCGCCGAGCTGTGATAGGCCCGCTCGTGAGCGCAAGAGCGCGGAAAGAACGTGCTAGGAGCAGTTTGGTTGACGGCGGAGGAGTGACGTGTCGGTCTGCGGACCGCGAAGGCTTCGCTGGGGAAGGTGTTGCCGGTTTGTCCCAGTCACGTGACCAGAAGCGGAAACCACGCGGAGGAATAAGCCGAAACTACAAATCCCAAAAAGCGGGGACTTGAGATCTGTCATCTCCGCTTATGATTTTTTTTTTAAGGCAGAAATTGACCATTACCTAAATGTAAGGTTAAAAGGGAGGAGGGACGAATTTTCTACGTGTTGTGAGTGCAAATTCAAATGCTTTCTGGTCCAGACCGTTAACATCTTGGACAGGGTTTGTCTGACAGTTCGCTCAACAGTGTTTTTGTGACTGCTCAGGCGGACTGCCGTGGACTAGAGAGCCCTGACCGATTTCATGAGGCATTTCCCGTTCTCAAGCCCCTGACTTCGTGAAGAATCCCCGCCGCCGCAGAGGCCGTTCTCCCACGCTGGGGACAGGTTTCTGCCAGAGAGCCAGCCCCAACTCCCTTTTTGCCCTCTCTCCTCACCAAAAACAAACAAAAATGTTGCTGAGGGCAGGGAAGAGAGTGAAGTTTCAGCAGCGAATTCCAGCACCTCTCAGACACGCCCGTGTACACCCACGCGCTCAGGCGCTCCCTCCCTCACGCTGCAGTGAGCTGAGGCTACACCAAATAGAGGGGAGCATCCTGCAACCGTTCAAATTCAGTGCCAGTACCACTCACTTATCTTCCTATTTACTGTACTATGAATGCAACCGACTGAACTTATTGAAAGCCCATTTAAATCAGTGCTTCAAAATCACGGGAATTTTTCAAAATTCACGTGACCGGGCTCACCCCAGGACGCTATAATTCAATAGATTTGCTTTTTTTTGTTTTGTTTTTATGTGTTCCATGTAATTTTATTAACAGAAGAAAACTGAAGGAACCTGAAAGAATTACAGAACTTCAGGTAAATGCTTCTTCAAAACAAGATTTTTTTTCTTAAAAGGAATTAAAATTAGAAAGATTCCTTTAAAGTTAAAAAAAAAGGTACTGTTTCAAGAACATTAAGATGTTGAGGGTTCTCATTTTGTAAAAAATTATCGAACATGTTTCTTAAAGGGAATGTTTAAGTTTCCAGGTGATAAAATTGTCAGCTTTTTCAGAAGTCAAAATATACTACAGAACAAAGTTTAAAATCTAAGCCTATTTCTAGGATGATTCTTTAATACCAGTTGATACGGAAAGGCTTGTCTGTAAGTAAAACCCAAGTCACAATAGCAAAGTCATGGGAAAAATTATTATAGTATTATAAACCCAGAGAGCATACATGAATTCAGCATATCAGCTAATCCTTCTCCCTCCTGATTTGTTGGACCAAGTTTTGACTTGTTTCAGAAAAGCTTTTTACTGTTCCATCGATTGCGTAAAAGAATGCTCTTTTTAGCTTACTTCGTAGGAATCAGGCCATTTCTGTGGAGCTTGTGTCTTTCCTGAAATGTCTACTTCCATCATTGATCAAAAGAAACACATGCCTTCACCTCATCTGGAGCACCCCAAAGTAAGTGTCTATTTTCTTCTTAAAGCTATTCTCCCCAGAACCCACCTTTCCAAGTGTGCTGCAGAGCTATGTAACCAGGATTTCTTCTCAAAACACTTCCTGATTCCTCTGTTTCGTGTTGTTTGGTTGGGTGTTTTAATGTCCATCTTTCTGTTTGTTGGATTTTTCATTTTGATCGATTTTTCAAGTAACTTTTTCAGAAAAGCTGAATGGAAAGCAAACAGTGCCTTTATTTGGTCCTTCATTAATAGCATAGCTAGGTTTCAAATTATAGGAACAAAATTAGGACCCATCCATCCCATACACATAAAAGCACACTTTCAAAGTATTACAACTTTATCTTCTACTATTGGGAGTTGTTCTTGAGAAGTCTAACGCTGTGAGTCATGTCCTTTGTAGGTAATCTGTTTTTCTCCCTGATAAATTATTTTTCCTTAAAGATCCCATTTATATTATTTTCTTTTGTCATTTTTCCTGTTTTATGCTTTGCAGGCCCTTTCTATCTGAAATCTCCAATTTTCATCAACAGTCCAGGAAATTTTCTTTGATTTTATTCTTGTCTCCATGTTTCTGTTCTCATTTTCTAAAGTTGCAATTAGACAAACGTTGGATCTCCTGATTCTTGGATACCTCCATGATTGTTAACTTTTTCCATGTCCTGATCTTTTTGCTCTGTGTTCTGGGAAATTTCCTCAATTTTATCTTGCAGTTCTCGAATTTACCCTCCTCAGTGTCACTTTTATAAGCCCATTTTATTCCCATAACTGCTTTAATTTCAAAGTACTTTCCTATTCTGTTGCTTTTTCACAACAATCTGTTCTTTATGGATGCGATAGCTTCCCAAATTTCTATGAAAGTAGTTAGTATAATTTTTAAAATTACCTTTTGTTTCTAGACTTTCCTCCAGGGCTAGGTGGTATGTTATGTGCATTTGGGGAAAGCTTCTGCAATGATTCTGATGCTGATCCCTGGTTAAGAACTACTTATCTAAATGATCCAATGGTCACTATTTTTCCCATAGGTCTAAAAGCACTACAGAACATTTAAACTTGAAATCAGGAGTACAAGAATAGGAGGCTGAATGTCTGGCCTAATCTCTCCCTTACTCACAGATTCTCTTCATTCCAACATTTTCTCCAGCTTTGAGACCTGTGGAAAATAGTAGCTATTTAAACACGTAATTTTTAAAAATTTGCTGATCACCAGTCAGTCCCCTTCACTTTACCGTTACGTCCAAAAGGGAAGTAATACCTTTCTGGTTCCCCCTGGATTCTCCAGTGGCTTGCACAGTGCCTAACAGAGAAGGTATGCAAATGCTTGTTACATGTTCAAGTCATCTCTTTCCCCCACTTGATCCTTGACTGGTTCTATGGACTCACTTTAGGTTCATCCAAAATATTTCACTGATGGATGGCTCTCATTGTTAAAAAGGCCTAAGTTACAATGACCTGAAGGCAGCTGCCTTTTAACTTCTGTGGGTCATATAGCATAAGAATGTTAATGGGGGAGGGGAGAGGGGAGACAAATGCTAAAATAAATGTCTACTCCATCATACTACTGATCAACTGATAACCTTTACCAGAGCAATCTTGATAGAGGTTAACACAAATTTAGAAGCTGAATGTACTACTTTTATAATCAGATTAACAGAAGTGGATGGAAAATGAACAGACAGTAGACAACTACAGTTGCCCTTTTATGCCCACAGATGTTATCCTTTTAAGGTGGTTCACAAACCTCTAACCATTAGTTGCCTTCTTCTGGGTTTGTTCCAGCTTGTCGCCATTCCTCTTACTCTTGGCACTTACTAAGTACAGAGCAATTAATAAGTCAGCACACGAATCTATTTAAAAGTTTCCAGCCGACTTAACCTCAGGTCTGAAGCATCCACTTTCTAATTCTTCAAGAGTTGCTATAATGAACAACTCAGCTCTAGATAGGCTAAAAGGGCAGTGTTTTGAATCACGTGCACCTGTCCTAGCTATGATGTCTATCCCTGAAAAGAACTTTTGTGAACATGATTCCTTAGATCCTACTGGCTGCATGACTAAAACTCAAGCTCTCATCTTCATCTTTAGTGATATGATCTTCCTTATTTTCAGTTACCATTAGTCTGCCTCAAAGTGCCATTCCGAACTTGGCAAAAACAGAGCCTACTCACCCTTTGATCCCAGTTTCCTAATCACTGCCCTCAGTGCCCACACCCCAGTAGAAAGGCAAGAGAGGTTTACAACTGCTTTTGTGTACATATCTCATTGTGATTGCTACCAAATTTCTATTGTAGACATGCCTAATCTAGCCTTTGTACAGGCCTCGCCTCGCAATTACACTAATAAAACTTGGCAGATTCATTTTCAGATGCTTAAACTTTAAGCATTTTCTGTAGCCAGGCACAGTGCCAGATAAAATCACTTGCCTTCATGTACTCAACCTCCCTCACGCTTCTAAACTAGCTAAGGCCAGCTTAGTTGGTACAAATACAAATTTCTGGCAGCAAGCTTGTGGTCACTTAAATAACCTAAGCTAATTTTTAAAACTTCAACAACTAATCTTAAGTAAGGTAATCACTGATCAGTTACAAACTGATGAAATACTGAGGTTTTCCTCAAATCACCCCCACTGCAACCTGGAGGTAGTTCTCTGCAATACTATTGACAAATGACCAGAAATGCCACAGAAATGTTGAAAGTAAATCTTATTTTAACTGTTTTTCACAAATTTTTCTGCACAAGCTAGAAACAATGCTTACTTCCAAGATGCCCAATATTTTAAAAGCTTCTGCACAATGAAGTTGGTTTTACATCTCCCAGCAATGATTTTTTTTTCCGCTTTTTCTCCCCAAGTCCCCCCAGTACCTAATTGTATACTTTAATTGTGGGTCTTTCTAGTTGTGGCATGTGGGACGCCACCTCAGCGTGACCTAATGAGCAGTGCCATGTCTAGGCCCAGGATGCAAACCAGCGAAACCCTGAGCTACCAAAGCAGAGTGTACGAACTTAACCATTCAGCCACGGGGCCAGCCCCTACCAGCAATGATTTTTAAGTCTTTGTCTTGTACATAGTAAAAGTTTCCACTAACCAAATGTCTAATCTCTTCCCTAATGAAAATGTTCAATACACTGAAATCTAGAATGATCTCTCCCTTTGTGAATATGCAGGAGAGATGCACATATAGACTTTAAAACAAATAACGCAACAATCCCAAATTCTCTCACAAGATATTAACATGATTATAATGACATAATACAAACTTTCTTGGAGAAAGATTTTCAGGACTAATCTCTCAAAGGTATAACCAAATTATCCAAGACAAACTCGTGTTCCATGAGTATGTTTCTTGGGGTGATGATTTGTAATTCAGCCATTACACACTTGTGGGAAACCAGCTCACATTTAATCATGACACTTTAAAATTGTACAAGTGTTTTGACATCCGCACCCTCCCCCCACATTTAGTCTCTTTAAAATGACAGGAAAACACCAATCACAGGTTTAATGGGTTTAATAAGTTTACCCCTTCAGTTCCTATTTGCAGCACCCAATATTCCTTTGACATACCAGACAGACCCGGCAGTGGCCAACAGTAAATTTCAGACCTCCAGAGTTTAAAAGTTCAGGTTCTCTTAGCATTCTGTGTTGCAGTGGCACTTGTCCAAAATCGGTACCTCCCTATAGCTGGGGTACTTCAAATGTACCAGTGAAAAAAGCTTTTTCCCCCTTCAAGGGAAGAAAGAAAAAATCACTCCTCAAAACCCTGCAGATCTGGCTGTGAGGTCTTTCCTTCTGTCCCATCTCTTCAGGCTTGTTTTTTTGCAGTAGAGCAAGAGAGACCAAAATCTAACCTGAGTTACAAGAAACAAGACAGTGATGGCTATAAAGGGAGCGGCCAGGAGCAACTGAGATACTCCTTTACCTCCCACATCCAATATATGTGCTTCACAGAAAAACAACAAAAATAACAGGTCCACAAAATACAACAGCTAGAATTACAAAACCCATTCATCCAAGGGTGATAGAAGGCAGGAAGGGGAGGCGGGAGGGTAAATGGCACAGGGGGAAAAAGTATTCAAATCAGTCCAGGCACAGGGGCTGGCAAACGCTAGAAAAAGAGCTGCAGAAAAACCTGTGGTCCTTTCAGACTCACCGGTGTTAAAAATCCACATACTGGTGTCAGGAGATTCTGCCTTACGTGCACCGGAGACAAAAATCCCATTTCCTCAGAGAGAAGGGAAGGCAGAGGGCCCTTGGCAGGTGGGTCCTGCCTTCCCTGGTTGGGGAGGTGAACAAGGAAAAGAGCTGCCACAGCCTCCTTCCAATCCCACCCGTGCCCTCTGGATGGCAGGCGACTCAGTGGCCTGCAGCAGCCTTCAGTTTGGCAGGAGAGGGATGTGGTGAAGGGAACTTCTCTGCGGAGGTTGAGCTACTCAGGGCTGACTGCAGGTAGACCGTCTTGTGGAAGAGTCTGTTGCTTAAGAAAACCACCAAAGAGAAGAGGCGCAACTGGAAAAGGCTAAAAGGCAAAAGACCCAACTTGTTAGAACAAAATTATTGTTGATCAAAATTATTGTTTTAATTACTTGACAACTTATCTGACTATATTAAACTTAAAATGAGCCAGGCGAAAACAAGACAACTGAAATTTGATCAAGACAGTAGAGATGTTAGACACATGGATTAAACCGGCAGCAACTAAAGAAGGCACTGCACCCTGTGGCTGTCATGAGTGCAGTGGAACCACCATTTGAAGTATCCAGGATTAGAGGAAATAAAGTTACGCTTAATTGGAAATACTTTTCTATGACTGACTACAGGGTACAACTTCAAGCTATATCTGAAGAAGCACATACAGCATATGATATCACTTTCAAGAATTTCAAGAGAATGTCAATTATACCTACTAAAATATATACTAGCAGTGCTGGACTGTAAGAGCGTGCAAAAACCCAAACAGATCTGAAGTTCCTATACATGTATCCTCACTGCCTTAACCAAAATTGACC